AACACACTTTCCACCCACTTAGATTTAAGTTTGTGATTCAGTACTGCCTTTATGCAGCTTCTGGAATAGAAGGGCATTGTGGTGCATCTAAATCAGATTTCTGAGCCAGTGACAGCAGATGGACCTTAAGAGAAAAAACACAGAGTCAGATAGCTAAAATAAGCCAATATTTTTCACCTCCTCTATTTCAGTGATGGTATCACCCTCTGTCATTGCCAATTCTAACAAGATTAGTAACCTCTTTAAAAACTGTGACACATGGAAGATAAAAATATCAGAGCAGAGGTTAGCTAATTTTGTAGCTTCGCCATTTTTTTGCACAATTTGCATCATCTGTATCATCTGTCTGACACTTTGACACACAGTGTATATAGAAACTGTATGGGCAACCCAGGAAATAGCCCATTAAAGGCTATCTCATGAACATTATCATAAAATATTACATTAATAGACATAATTAAAAATTTATGACAACCATACATAATAATGAAGTCAGTTTTAAAGAAAAGACTATAACAGAATGAGAATTTGTATAGTTTTATTTTATCATTAATTTCTTTTATTAAAAGACAACTCTGTAATAAAATGTGCAAATGAGGCATGGAACAAGTCTTCTATGCATAACAATCTTAACAGAGAAAAGTTTCATTCACTTTAAAAGTTGCTCAGCCTTCATGCAAATTTTGCTTAGTGTTCCCCTATCAAAGCAGCATTTGCCTTTCCCATTCCTGCATTGGGAAGTTCTGCATTCTCATCTGCTATTAAAAATGAAAACCACAAAACCCCACCAACTTTCAGGACAGCATGACTGCTTCTTACTTCATTGGGAAGCTGCTGATAATCCAATGTTCACCCAAAGTGTGTGGTTTAATCTGAGGGAGATAAAACACCCTAGCATAATGTCAAGCATTGCCTGTGGTTTCAAGCAGAGGAATAAGAAGTCCTTTCCAAGTCTAGCCTAGGAGGTGATATTAATAACAAGTAAATTTACAGTTGCATATAAAGCAGAAAAGTCACCAGGAGACAAACCAGAATAGCTTCTAAATTAGGAAGAGATATGCACTGATCTAACATTTTTTGTTCCTGAGACTTCCAGTTACAGAAATTGCCGTAGTGAAATACGTCATTACCATTTTATTCAATGCTTAAGATAAAATGTGACAAAAAGCATCCATCTGTTCATGCACCCACCCAGACAGAATCTATAGTGCCAATTTCTGCTCAGCAGCACACAGAAGTAAACCAGTAATAACTACTTTGACAGTAATGTATTCACTTCAGGTTTAATATAGAATAAAATTTGTTTCCTGTTTGGCAGTTCTCAGAAAGACTGGAAAATCTCCCTGGAGCCCTACATAATACTTCTTGTGAAAAAATCTCCCCAGAGCCCTACCAAATACTTCCAAAAAAAAAAACAACCAAAAAAAAAACAAAACCAGTGTTCCTTTTCTACAACAGTGTTTAAGTTGTTTTTTGGCAGATAACTGTTAGCACTGTGTCCACTTTATAACTGCCGGACAAACTGCTTTAAGGTATTATAATTTATAAAGTATTATGCAATGCCACAGTCTGTTGAGTATGTAGGAAAAAATTGCACACTTTCAATATCTGGTCCCCGAGTTAGAAAATATAACATCTGTGCAATATTATAGGAAGTTTTGAATGTTTTTTCTCCAAACATCTCGTTTCACCCTACATGAAGCAAACCTACAGAGGCGTAAAGGAACCTGCATATTCCCAATGTCCTTGTGGCAAGTTGACTGAACGTATTGCCTGAAGTGCAAACCTTGACAGATTTTCTAAAAGCCCTTCTTCTTATCTTCAAATCAATCCACCTTGTGTCTCAACTGGCTTCATGAGCACACAAAACACCACATCAGACTTGCACTACATAACCAATTTCCTCAGGAAGAAATGCATAAGGAGATTTACATTCACCCATCTTCCGAGAATATCTGCAGTGACCTTCCTATATTCCTCCATACTGGCAGCTAGTGCATTGATTCACCTAGGCATTAGGTTAAGTTTGCCTGGAGTTCTCAGTGAGGTAACATGCAACTCTGTTCTCAATTGGAACAGATGATGTTCACTAAAGGCAAGGAATGATATTACAACACAGTGAAAAACCAAAAAAGTTAGTCCAAACTCTTCCCTCCCTCATTTATACTTTTCCACTACATTTCAAAAGACAAGACGGCAAGTGATGATGTGCTAAGTGGCAGGATATAGAAAGCTCTGCCTGCACCTCATGCTCAGTGGAGGCCACAAGTGCAATAACGTTGTGAGACCTTATGTTACAGCTGAAGAATCTGTGATCATTGGCAATCTCCAGGCAAAGCCTGAGATAAGTATGCTACTTAGTAAAAGTATGTTAATGAGTGGTAAGAACATGAGTTGATTCTGTTGCCCACATCAAGTTTTGAGAAAAACCCTAGGAAAACTCCATTTGAGGATTTTTCTGACAAGGGTAAGATTTTACTGTCAATTTCTGAGAATGTTGGCGGTAGCTGAAGGCCCCCTAATCTTGGACTTCGACACCTCTAATCTAAATGATCAGTAAGGGTTCCAATCTATAATCCTAATCAGAGTTTTGACTCACTTCTGTAACTTTCAGGAATTTCAAAGGCAGTAACATTTTTAAATGTCAAAACTAGAACTACTGTGTTTGTAGTAAAGTTCACTGCTGTATTTTCTACTCAACTATAAAAGCAATTTATGAAATGAATATAAATACTGGATTGATGCTGAGTTTTGAAGAACCACCTGTTATTTGTTAACTTCAGAAATCTGTGTTGAAACCATGAAACATATGCACTGCAATTCATTTAGAAATTGTTAACCTCTCTTAGCCTGAGCATTACAAACATGCAGAAGCACAGCCACCATTTACTGATGAAACTGTAACTACTGGAAATGTATGTCATGACCCAGTGTAATAAGGGAGGTTAAAATGGCAGCAGGATTGGTTTACAAAGTGCTTTGTTTTCTCATATCTAGAATCAAACAATGACATGCAAAATATCTCTTGTTTATCCTTATGTTTCCAACACTAGTTATTTAGGTTAGCTAGAACAATGAAACAGCTGATGAAGGAGTCTGCAAACAAGCCATTGGCACTACCTTGTGAAAAAGAGAAAGGTGGCCTTAGGAAGAAGTGGAATGCATGGAAAGATTGCTGAGAGCACTCTCTCTCCTTTGCTTGCCGCTTTTCTGATTCTGGGGTGAGCTACCTGCCAGAGTAAAACTGAGGTCACTGTTGATTCTATTCAGGTGTAGCAGCTTGCTTTGGAGTTCAGCAAAACTTTCCTCATTGAATTCCTTCATCAGGGATACAAATCTAGCTGTGACTTTGTTAGTCTTAGTGGGAATTATGCAGCAATAGCTGAGAACAAATGATTTCATCTACATGTTCCCATGCCTGACATTCATTACTATGATTGTGTCCACAGAAACACAGTAATCCTTCCTATTGTGATTCTGCCATCTAACAGGATAATGTAATAGTTGTCTGTATTTTTGTCCATTTTCACCTTTACCTCTGCTCAGACACTAAAGCTTGACAGACTAGAAACTGCCTCCTTGTGCACGACGGGTTTTCAGAAAAATTGCCTTTTTGAAGCTCTATCAGTTTTCAAATAAATTTACCAGTTCTGGCAAGGGCTAAAAAATGTTAGCCCTTTTGCATCCTTCGCAAGGAAGAAATTCTTGCCCTGTTAGCGACCCCCATTTCAACCTGTAATCAACAGACAACCAGTTCAGTGCCCCAGACAGACCTTGCAGAAAACCCTTCTGATGAGACTGCAAACACTGATTAGCACCACTGCTGATGGCAGCTTGTTAAAGCTTGGGAAGAGCTCTTAGAAATTCTTCTCGCCTACCCCACAGATTTGCTGGGAATACCACCATATGCTATAACTTTTGATGGTATTTCTTCTGCCTATTTAATGCAGCACTAGGTTACAGCAACCTGGATTGTGTACTGCAGCCCAATAATACATTACAGTAACTATTACAGTAATCATGTACCATAGTACATTACAAGCTCTGTTGTACCTATATTTAGGTTCCAAACTGTGAGGACAATTCTCCGTAGGTGGAATTGAAAGGCTGATTTGCTGAAGCTATTAAAAATATCCTGAGAGGATGGAGAAAAGAGAGAAATGCTGCTGGACGCAGCTGGGAGCCGAGAGAAAACCCTTCAGACAAACTTTTCTCTGTGCTGTATTTTAAATTATTCATTAAAAAAAAAATAGCTAGAACAATATTGTATACCCACACCATAACAGGCAGTGGTATAAAGCAGTCTGATAGTAACTAAATACCACTAACAATACAAGTACTAGGTTCAGAATTTGATGGCAACAACATTAATAACAATAATTAGGCCGGAATATCTGCCTTCACAAAGGTTTTGGCTCATTGTTTTAACAACTGAAAGTCAAAATCTTACGGTAATGATGCAAAAATGGAGTGCGCAAACTACAGGCAAAATTAATGGAGCAAGTTACTGGGAGAAAATAAAATGTGATGAGTCCTGAAGGAAGGGTGAGGATGAATGCCTGCAAGGCCTGTCATAAGGATCACACTGGCGAGAGTCTAACTGTCACCTAAAAACTTGGGTGTCATTTGCAAGCTTTTAAGTAACATCACACAGGAGAGGAACAAGGTGCTCATTATTTCTGTTGCTCACAAAGTAAGCCAAAGCAAGAAAGAAGCAAGATGAGATAACACAGGCCAGTCAAAATTTGAACTAAAGCAATCTACTGCGTCTTTATACCTCTGAGAAGAGAGGATTGTTGCACATATTCAAAACACAGTGGGAATGCCATATGCGATACCTCATTTCCCTGCCCACATAGGATTTGATTCAGTAAAACTACTGAATAAGTACCATGGAATAATCATGGTGTGATTCTGTGCTTCTCTCTTTAAAACAAACATGGCCATGGTAATAAATAGCTGGAAAGGGAGGGAAAAAAATGATCTTGCTCTTACCACACTTAGCCCCCTAGTTGAAGCTTACCCTCCTTGAGAGTCACTGGAAGCATGTGTCCACTTCTGGAGAATGACTCATCCTCCTAAAATAAGTTTCTTGGATAGAAGGGGTGATTCACCACTTAAAGGTGAGAGAGCACATGAGAGTAGTTTAGATTAGATGCCTAATTTATTGGTGCTGAAAGTTAGGTATAATGACTCTCTAATACAGTAATTTAGATTTCTCAGAATCCAGTAAAAAAACAACAGAAGATGCATGAATTTGCCTTGCTCTGCTAGACTTACATTGCTTTTCGAAAGCTGACAAATAGTTACAGCTTATTCTTGACAGAATTCAAAGCAAATGCCATTAAAAGACATGTACCAAGCAGGTAAGTGCAGTAACAAAGCACCATTTTACTGTTCCTTTTATTTCTCACATTGCTATTACAGAAAGGAAACACAAAGTGATCTTGAACTGTAGTTATGTTCAGGAAATCATAATGGGTCCCATTATCACCTTTCAAATACACGCCTGTTAAAGCAATGTGCATTTCACTATAAGACATAAAAAAACCCACACAAAATCACACTGATCCATGACACTGACATGAAGAACATTCAGAAACATCCAGCCTGTTCCCTTTGAAACCCACCAGCCTATATTGACTGGAGAAAAATATAATAAAAATAAAAAACCCAACCAAAAAACCTAAACTCAATTCACTGCCAGCTCCTAATCCCTAACCGGAGCTACAGTGCCATTTTTCTAAAAAATCTCAGGGTGTAATCCATAAGGAAGAGGCCATTATTCTCCAAATGAAGCATCCTCTGTATTACTTTCACATGAAGATATTTCATAGCAATACATGTCTCTGATTATTTCTTCAGCTGGAAGAGGTTTCAGTCCACATAGCCATACAGCTATTTTAGCGGGACAGGATGAGCAGCCATCGAGAGACAGCCACAGTTCTTATGCTATACTAGTCCTGACTGCTAGGAAAGGTCAGTCAGGTAAAGAAAAGCCGCACATTTGTTGTTTTTAATATGCCCTTGAAAAAGAATAATCCCAATTTCTTGCAAACATTTAAACTAATCCCCCAGACACAGGGGAATATTAGAAATTGTATGAAACGGGGCAACAGCATGTTCTGACAGGCATGTTTAGAAAATAATTTCTTTTTTTCAGAGGTTTAAGCGCATTACTGCCTAAGTCAAAATTACACTTCCTCTGCATTTACAGTGAATGATTGTGTTACTAGTATTGAATTAAAGGGTCAGAAAGCCATTATAAGATCAGATTTTACTATACACATGAGCACAGTTCTTTTGACTCAAGTAAACCAGTTTTCTATCACACATTGAGCTGAGCAGGGTATCTTATCACTTGAGGCACAGCTTATATGGAAAACTGTGATTAAATATCCCTGAATGGAAATAAGTTAAAATAAAATACTGTTGGCCTGGATAAATTCCTTGGGAAAAAATGTCAAAATTTGATTTCTCAATACTTGCTCTCTAAGCAATTATAATGAATTCTGGATAAGAAAAATGACATATAGGTTATCAATGTATTGCAAATACAAGGATTTGGTGCTCTACAAGAACCATTTCCTTCCATGCCTGAAATACTTACCCATGTTTCTACTGTAAGCGTACTTGTATTTCACCCTTTAAGTCAGCCCTCAATCAGAAGACTGTCTCTAGGTGTTCAAAGGCCACTGCCTGTATCATATTATATGGTAATGATTAACATGATATAATGATGAAGAGTTTTCACCCTCCACCTCAAAATAACTTGAGTATTGCAAACTAGGTCATTTGAAAATGGTACTACCTTGTTTGGACAAGATACACATTTTCCAGCACTGCGAATGACAGCTGTGTCATTTACAACTCCAACAGGAAAGAAGAACAGTAGAAAGGGCTACAGACATCCATTGTTGTTATTTTTATCTATTAAAAATGCAGTAAGAAATGTGTGGCAGCAACGACTTCCCTTTTCTGGTGTGGTTGTATCTATCTTTGAAGACCAGTTCCAAATTAAACAAATCATTACATGGAGCTTTGTGAGGATAGGTCTGTAAGCATACACAGATGATGACAATGACAATGATTAAATACACACACATTCATGATAAATCCTTCCCCAATAAATAAATACTATAGATAAACAGATAAATTCTCCCAAAAGTAAATTCATAAAAAAAAAAAAGTTAATTCTGGACAAAAGAGACTTTCATACCTTTAATACTGGTCTCTGCAAAACACAGAGAAAACCTAACACATACCTGCTCCTCAGCTAAATGCACAGAATTTGCTTCTACCCCCAAACTTCAAAGTAAGAACACTTGGAAAAGGGAAACAAATCATAAGATCTTAATAATAACTTAAACTAGCACTTTAATTGAATCTCTTTCTTCTTCAAATATCCATTGCAGCAGGAGGGCCAGGAGACCTCCTTGTATGGATAAGGAGCTGCTGAGGAAACTCTGAAGGAAAAAAGAGGCTTATGAAAGGTGGAAACAAGGACAGGCGGCCTGGGAAGAGTACAGGGATGTTGTTCTGGAAGCTAGGGACCAGGTTAGGAAAGCTAAGGCCCAGTTAGAACTAAACTTGGCTAGGGATGCTAAAGATAACAAGAAGGGATTCTATCTGTACATTGTAAATTATAGACAGACTAGGGACAATGTGGACCCTCTCCGGAAGCTATCAGGAGAGCTGGCTACCCTGGATTTGGAGAAGGCTGAGGTTCTTAATTACTTCTTTGCCTCAGTCTTTACTGGCAAAAGCTCTGACCACACCACCCAAGTCTTGGAAGACAGACGCAGGGACTGTGAGAATGAAGACGTTAGGCTCACTGTAGGAGAGGATCTGGTTTGAGACCATCTTAAGAACCTGAACATGCACAAGTCTATGGTGAACCTAATGAAATCCATCCGTGGGTCCTGAAGGGGAAAATGGATGACCCAGGGAATTACAGACCAGTCAGTCTCACCTCTGTGCCTGGCAAAATCTTGGAGCAGATTCTCCTGGAAGGCAGGCTAAGGCACATGAAAAACAACAAGGTGCTTGGTGACAGCCAGCATGGCTTCACTAAGGGGAAATCCTGCCTGACCAATTTGGAGGCCTTTTATGATGAGCCTATGGAACTGATGAACAGCAGTAGAACAGTTGATGTCATCTACCTGGATTTGTGTAAAGCGTTCGACACTGTCCCACGCGACACCCTTGTCTCTAAATTGAAGAAACATCAATTTGATGAATGGACCACTCGGTGGATAAAGAACTGGCTGGATGGCCACACACAAAGAGTTGTGGTCAATGGCTCAATGGCCAGCTGGAGACCAGTAACGAGTGGTGTCCCTGAAGGATCGGTGTTGGGACCAGTCTTGTTCAACATCTTCGTTGCTGACATGGACAGTGGGATTGAGTGTGCCCTCAGCAAGTTTGCCGATGACACCAAGCTGTGTGGTTCGGTTGATACGCTGGAGGGAAGGAATGCCATCCAGAGGGACCTTGACACGCTTGTGAGGTAGGCTGATGCCAACCTCATGAAGTTTAACCGTGACAAGTGCAAGGTCCTACACCTGGGTCGGAGCAATCCCAGGCACAGCTACAGGCTGGGCAGAGAAGAGATTCAGAGCAGCCCTGTGGAGGAGGACTTGGGGGTGTTGGTCAATGAGAAAATGAACATGAGCCAGCTTCAGTGTGCGCTTGCAGCCCAGAAAGCCAACCGTAACCTGGGCTGCATCAAAAGGAGCATGACCAGCAGGTCGAAGGAGCTGATCCTGCCCCTCTACTCTGCTCTTGTGAGACCTCACCTGGAGTATTGTGTGCAGTTCTGGTGTCCTCAACATAAAAAGGACATGGAACTGTTGGAATAAGTCCAGAGGAGGGACAATAGGATGGTCAGGGGACTGGAGCACCTCCCATATGAAGACAGGCTGAGAAAGTTGGGGCTGTTCAGCCTGGAGAAGAGAAGGCTGCGTGGAGACCTCATAGCAGCCTTCCAGTATCTGAAGGGGGCCTACAGAGATTCTGGGGAGGGACTCTTCATTAGGGACTGTAGTGATAGGACAAGCAGTAACAGGTTAAAACTTAAGCAGGGGAAGTTTAGATGGGATACAAGGAGGAAATTCTTTCCTGTTAGGGTGGTGAGGCACTGGAATGGGTTGCCCAGGGAAGTTGTGAATGCTCCATCCCTGGTAGTGTTCAAGGCCAGGCTGGACAGAGCCTTGGGTGACATGGTTTAGTGTGAGATGTCCCTGCCCATGGCAGGGGGGTTGGAAGTAGATGATCTTAAGGTCCTTTCCAACCCTAATTATTCTATGGTTCTACGATTCTGTACTGATTGGGTAGAGCCAAATACTGCAGGATAATATTAGTCTCTGTAAGCAACTGTATTGAAACAAATGGATTTATTTCACTTTTGCAATTGCTATTATGAAAGCAAAAATTGGCCCTATGTAATGAAGCTGGTCCAACCCTGGAAGTGAAGATAAGGAAAAAGGAGTCCAATACGTTTTAAACACCTGAAACATTTCCAAGATGATTTTCTTGTAACACCAGTAGCATAAATATTGACTGAGGTACTATAGAATGACCTGGAATTAATAATTTAAAGACATAAGCAAGTTGAATATCTTTTCCTAACCATGCCTGTAAGCCACCCTTTCCAAATACATGTAGTATTTTACTAAAACATATGACTGGTAATACATACCTTAGAGAAAAGGTAATTTTTTCCATTGATTAACTAGGGGAAAATAGCTCTGTTATGTACATGGTTTTCTTAAAAATAACCCACCATAATTTCTGCATATCCTGTCTTCAAATGTTGATGGATAATCTGCAAACAGATCAGTTGTAATGCTTCCCTCCATTTCAAGCTCTGGCAGGTGAGAACTTACCCTAGATGGTGGGAATTAGTAGGAATTCTAAAACTCTGCTTACATCACAAATAGAACAAGTAAATAAAACAAGCCAGGGATTTACCTCACCTCTCAAATGACATGGCTCAGCACAGATTCGTCCATTTGAGGTCCCTCTTCAAAATACAATCCCTATGCTCAAACTGTTAAATCACGTGGACCCTTTCCTGTAGTAACCACATACTAGCCATGCCTGGCAGGTGGCTTATTGGCCCACAACAAATTAATCATGTTAAATACTTAACAGCAATGATTGTGTTCAGCTGTTTGTTTCTACTATTCTCTGGCCCATTTAGCATTGCAGACACTGTCTTAAAGCCTGCAGCTCCCTCATCATAGCCAGGGCTAGGCAATCTAAGGTGTCCACTGTCTGCATTTTTAGGTGGCCTTCATGCAAGGTGCTGTGAAGCTAAGGATGTTGGGTCTCCGGCTTCATGTCTTACACAAGTAAGGATTCATGTCTCTGGAGCCCCAGCTTAGCTGGGATTTCACAGCTTGGCTAGGGTTTTGCAGCAGAGACCTCAAAAACATTTAGGGAGTTGGTAGTTTTAGAGTTTAAGCCTGCGGATGCTCCTCCCTCAGAAGATTTCTCCACACCCTGGTTTGATACTCTGGAGGTTGCCTGGGATCCCAAATACTCTGGAACAGAGTTATGCAGCAGCATTTTGCTGAAGACATATCAAAACAGACACCTTCTGCTTTTCTAAAGGAATTGTTTCTTTGC